GGGGGGCAGATTTACTTTCACCAATTCACCCCATAAAATAAATGTTCGACCCACTTAGATAGCCGTCGGCGTACTGAAAAAACCGCTGGCTCTGTGTACTATTGATCTCAATGTTTTCGACTCTTTAATCTTTGCCAGCATCGTTAGCGATATCCTCTCAGTGCGCTTGTGACAAAGGCGTCTCCGATTTCTTTTGTGGAGAAAACATTAAATGTGATGCATCGTGGTGAGATCAGGCGCTCGTTAAAATAATGAAATCGGAGAAATCAGCAATTCTCAGCCACATTGGACATTTTTTCCCGAATTTTTGTTTATTGGATAAACACCTTGTATGTCCATTCAAAAACACTTTTATGCGTGGATTTTATGGAAAACTTTTTGATTAAAGGCCAAAAAAAAGTTAATTTGCAGTTTCTCGCTAGTTTTTGTTCTTAAACAAGGTGACCCCCACCTCATTCAGTTGCAAATATCTCGACTTCTATTTAAGATAAAGGGGTGTTTTTCATTGTAAGCAAGGCAAGTGAATAACCTTTAAGATGATACCAATAACTCCATATGCCCACAAATTGACGAGCGCCTGATTCTACCGCGTCAGGACGCAGATGTTTTGGCTTGCTCTGAGGGCCGATTGATCTATCGCCCGCAGTTACACCATCCGAATGTTTTTATTTGTCACTCAGATTTATTCCACCCATCCACCCCCAAACATCCCAAGAAAAAAACAAAACAAAACCAAAAAAAAACAAACCCAGAAACAACCTCACCCATCCCCCATTAAGAAAAGATATGAAACAAATTAATATTTTTTATCTTTCTTTCTGACTTTCCTTTCATTTCACATCTTTTTTTTGTAACGTTATTTCTACATGTTGCGTTTTTACCTTTTCTGTGAAGCCACGAAAAATGTATCCGAGGCGCAATAATGTATAACATGGATATCTTACTTATCTGTAAAGAAGAAATCTCGGTTGTGACTGATTATGGAACGGAGATGTCTAAGATGTGTCTTACGGCTCTTTTTGTTTATTTGTCCGTGTTTTTACGTTACCTTCAACACCATTTAGATCATAAAGTAGGTGGGAACCCTACCTTGCTTGTCAGGGCCAGCCCAGGCTGAGAGGGATACGACATCCCAGCAGACAGACCTGGTCTGAGAGGGATGCAACATCCCAGCAGACAGACCCGGGCTGAGAGGGATACAACATCCCAGCAGACAGACCCGGGCTGAGAGGGA